AGCGACCTTCTATGCTATAAATACGATATTTATAAAGGCCTGAGATCATGCATCAATCTATAAAATTTTATCTCCCTTACGAGTGTGTATTTCTTTAAACATCTCTTCATACATAGGTTGTGTGTGGCAAGCTATATGAAAGAATAGATTTATGTTCTCATGTTACAAATAGAATTTTTCATTTGTCATTTTTACGTTAGTTTCAAATTACAAAAAAAATAAAATAAATCTATTTATAATTTTTTGTAACGATTCTACACACCAAATGACAAGATATTTACAGAAAAAAATTTCATGTTTATATTACAGATAAATTTATCTATTTTTTTTAAAAAAAAATCTAATTTTTAATTTACTGCCTACAATATAGACATAAAAAATTTATCTATAATTTATGAATTTTTAGTAAATTTTTTACAAAATTAATGAGTCTTCAACCGACACAATGTATTGATCTTATTGTGTTTGGATAATTTAACTAACCAACATAAACTTTTAGTTGAACAGATTTGAATTATCTAAGTAGATGATGAATTGGATCAAGATGATTTATTCGAAGTGAAAACATAAAGTGAATCAATTAGTTTACTACAAGACAAACATCAAGTGTCGAGAAAATAAAGTATAAGAGTCTTTAAGTAAAAGGAATAAATGTATTGATTTTTTATAAAATATGATGCTTAATTTATTTATTTTTTAAAATTTTTACTCGAGCTTCATGTCCTTTTTAGTTATAACTATTTTATTACTCATTGATAAAATAAAAAGAATAAAGAGGGAAAGATTTTAGAGTAAAAGAAAATCAATCCTTTATTTCATCACCACAATACATATATTTATTGACAAATCAAATAATTAGCAAATTTTTTAGAGCTCTACACATATACAAAAGGAAATAACTTCTCGTACTTGATCGCAATACATATCATTAAACTTATTTAAAATTATATCATTAAACTTAATTGCAAAATGAACAAATTCAGAGAAAATTGATGTACTGATCAACACTTCAACTCATTTGTCTTTGAGCAACTCCAAAATACATCTTCAAAAATACTTTCGGAAGGTTTTGATTACTCCTCAAAACTATATTCTACACATTATTTGACTTTGAGAAACTCCAAAATAAATTTTAAAAATACTTTTGGAAGGCTTTTATCCTCAAAACTATACTATTAACAAACTTCAGTCTCTTCTCAAAACCGTATTTTCCGATTGCTTGAATCAATAGCTTCAAACATTTCCATACAAACCAATCTCCAATTCAATTAAACTAATTAAAAATTTTGATCTTTTTATATCTTGCTGATCCATAAAATTCTTTTTTAATTTATCTCCGTTTCAAACTAAATTTTGACACTACAATTTCTAATTTCCACTCCAATGGTGGAAATGAGCTAACTTATTTTGAAATTCCACAAGTTTATTTTAATTTAATAATAAAATTCTCTAGCTTTAATTTTTATTTTAAAAATAAATAATAACTAGTAAAAGTAATACTTCCTTAAAAAACCTTAAATTATTGTCTATAAACATAATTAACTATATATTATTAAAATCTAAGTTGATTTTAACTTAAATTTAGAATCAACTTCAATTATAATTAATCTAAGATGTTTGATTGCTGAAGTCGGTTTATAATGAAAGCGAGAGTAAGTTTTGTACAAGCTTGCTTGGTTAAACATATCCAATCAAAATAATGAAAAAACAATAAATTTTATGAAATTTAAACTTTAATGCTTATGAATTGCATAAATGAGTCATTTTCTTTGTTGTATGTTACTGTTGTGGTACAGTTTGGTGTGGTCCCCTACAGGACACCCACACCGCCGCGTCTACTTAAGCCAAGGTCATTGATTACCCTTTGCATCCCCTCAACAAGTGCTTGTTATTGTCATTATTATTATTATTATTATTATTATTATTATTATTACGTCAATAAAAAAAATAACAATTTTAGGAAAATGACTAATTAACACTATACGTCCTGTGGATTTTTATGAGCTAAATTTGTTAATAAATTATGATTAAAATAAAAAAAATGTGTTAATAAATCAATACACTTATTAATCTCTTTATACATATGATATAATTAGTCTAAAATATTGAAGTGTATTTATAATCTCTCTAATCATGAGTTTTAGTCTATGATAACTTTGGTCTCTGCACCAAATAAACGAGTAACGCATAATCTATTTTAATATACACATTTTTAAACTAAAATTCCCTAATCCTAATACTCCATGAAAAGGACTTAAAAGTTCAGCCATTGTAGCATTGCAAGATTCTAATAATATTAACACTTTTTTATATTTTTTATATTATATCATTTATTTTATTTATTATTTTTCTTCGTGGATACATTTAGGAGAACATCTATTTACTAACTTTTTTATAAACAAATTGCAAATGGAAATGACTTAATTTGGTTTGAAAAACTGTTTAAAGAGAAAAAAAAGTTAGCTAAAGTTTTTTAACCAACAATTAACTTCCTTAACAAAATTTATTCATAAATTAGTTATAATACCATTGCGTTACCCAAATTTATTTTAATATACAAAATATATTAAATAAAAAAACATATTATACAAAAAAATATAAAAAATGATAAATTTAGATTCACATATATAATAAATTTATTATAACAAAAGATATAAAAAAATGTCAAATAAAAATTATTAATAACATATTTTGAATAAATGAAAAAATTTTAAAATTATTTTACATTTAATTAAGTTGAAAATAAAAAAATTATGAATATCTATATATAATTATAATAAATGATAATAAATTTATATATATTAACAAATAAAAATAGAAATTTAAAACTAAACTTGTATTTCATTTATTAATTTATATTTAATATACAATAATGCATTTCGGTTTATGTATATATGGTCTTTTATGAACATTGATTATAATTTATAATTTACGACATAGCATGACCTTGAAATTTAAGAAGCTTTCTTTGGAGTTGTGTGTCTTAAAAAGCTCCTAAATGAATCTGTTTTCCATCACTGTTGAGTTAGGGTGTAACGTGGGACCAATTCCATGCAAAGCTGACTAAGCCACTGATTCTCTCCTTTATGATGCCACCGCCCTCTTTTTATGTCCACTACTTAACATACAATAACCCTTAACTGTAAATTTTTCTAATGCTTCCATCCACTTTCTACTTTATAATCTTTTTTTATAAAAACTATAAATTTTTTATGGTACTTTTTTTTTAGCCATACTTTTGCTCTCGCAGTGCTAGCGATATTTAAAATTATAGAATGTAATAATCAACTAATAATATTTAACAATTAATTTGAATATCATTGATAAAAGAGCTAGCCTAAGTATGACAATAATTACCGATGATAGTTTGCTAATTTGATCAAATAAGTGTGACATTAATAAAATAACATTGATTTGATTTTATTAATATTTTGTATTGATAAATTATTTATCAATATATTACAAACTCTTACAAACACTTGTTTTATTACTCTTATTTGAGAATAAAATAATTTTTCTATGTTCAAAACTTTTATTTCTCAATAAAAGTATCTAGATAATTTCTTTATGCAGAAAAGAAATTTGTCGCTGTTGCCTACAAAAACGGAAAATGTGTAACTGAACTGAATAAATATTGTAGCACCAATGAGAACGAAGAGAGATTTTAATGATTTTTAATTTCTTGTTCTTTTCAATTAAATCTTCACGAAACGAAATAGCTGATTAACAGAAGGACATAGCATTGACAAAGTGAGAATATACTGGCCATATAGATCCACTAAAATCCCACATGAATTATTCATTCTTGATATTTTCTGTAAGAATCTTATAACATATCATTGTTTGTTTTCTGAAAAACATTAGAAAAATTAATCTCTATTATTTCTAAGATTAAAATATGTGACAAGTCCTACCAATGATGAATGTTTATTTATTATATTTTTTAAAAAGTTTCTGCAAGGTCCCGCTTTCTGTTTTGTCATATAGATGCAATCTGCACCACAATATTTTGCACCTACTTGGGTATTATTAGTATATGACTGTACCACAGGTTGCTCTTGTGGTTTATTTCACTCAGCTGCTCTATTATTTAAGTTATATATATAGGAAAGGATTTTCTGTTGCTCAAGTTGTTGGTATATATGTTTATATTTTTATATCTAAATTCATTCAACAATTATTTGACGTTTGATAACACTAGCGATTGGACAAAGATATCAAATCTTAGAGACGCTGTAGAGTTCTCCTTTAGTTTTATGCCTAACTATAGATGAATCGACTTGCTTCTATCCCATTGCTTAGGTGTAAAGAAAAAAAGGTTACTACACTCCAATCCAAAACCTATGTAATCAGCATCCATGAAATACCAAAACCCATTGTAATTGCCTTAAAGATCCGTTTCTTAATGATAAAGTACATTGTAACAAACAGCGCGTATATTTGGTAGATTTATCATGTGGTTCATTATTGATCGAAAGTTAATATAAATAATAAACCTAGAATATAAAACCAGTATCTGGAAATGTCGTAGAAATTATAAAGCTTAGATCTTAGACTTAGTTTAGAGTTAAGATAAAGGGGATTTTTATTTTTACTTTTTTTTTTAATTTTTGGGTGGGAAAATGAGCATATATTATGCTTACAAACTTTGTTATAATTTTTTAAAACTACGTATGAGTTTGGGTATCATTTATGCTTTTTATTTATTTATTTATTTTGCCTGATAAAAAGAAAATTCAGGATCTAATTATACAACTTGTTTATACGAAAGTTAATTATTCCACTAGAGGAGGGGAGGATAAAATAGTGGATAAGTCACACCATTAAAAATTCCCATCAATATTTGTAAATTCTCACAAATATAGAGTTTTAATTATAAACAACGAACCAGTCCACAATTGACAAACCAAAGAGAAATCGAACAATATGAGTGCACAAGACAGAATGAAAAGCACGAGAGAGAACAAATTAGAACAGGATTTTAAAATTGTTTTCCATTTTAATTATCTATTGATCCAAAATCCCATTGAGAGATTACTACAAGACACTTCCAAAAATATTAATAACCTGCCAAGTTTGAAGCAAATAAGACCACCCACTCCCATTATCCAAAAAGACGCCACGGTAAAAAGAGAGGGAGAGTTATATAAACATTTTTTTTTAACAGGCCTCAAACAGCAACTAATGGCATCCATCGAATCCATTGGTTTGGCTTTTACAACTACAACGCAACCACTGTGGTTTCGCCTTTGGTTGCAACATTAGACCCAGATGCTGGAGAACCCACCACTTGTTTCTTCGACGCCATAACAAACTTCTCTTTTCTCTCATCCTTGTTCATCTGCTGTTGACGACACTCTTGGCTGCAAAAAGCACTATCGCCCCTGCAAAACCAAACAAAAACCCTTTAATTTAATTCTCTTACTCTAAGGAAAAAACCTCGTTTTATTGAACATCATGATATAATCATGTTAAAAATATACTTTTTATTGATTTATTAATTAGTGAGATTTATAACAAATTAATAAAACTCGACTATGAAAATTATGTCTTTCTCTCTTTAACAAGACGTTCATCAAGATTCTAAAAATAAAAACTGACGGTGTACGGTATCATAACGGCGTGAAGATTAATGGTAACAGTTATGTAATGTAACAGAAATGAGTACCTGTACATGTAGATGTCGCGACCGGAATCAAGACGGCGTTTGCAGAGAAAGCAAGCGCGTAAGAAGTTAGGAGTGTCAACGAAATCGGAGGAATGTCTTCTATGGATTTTGGGTGATACCAACACCCTATTGCTCTGATCTAACACAACACAAGCATCACCTGATTTGTGTTGGTTAGAAGGGTCAGAATCGGAGGTTGTGGCGTTCAGATCCAACGTTATTTCCGACATGCTTGTGGTTCTCTTCATTGGAGGACGAGGTCTCTTTCCTAGTAGCATCTTCTAATTAACTGGTTCCCTTCACTAATTCTCTCTCTTTTTTTCCTTCTTTTTTCGTTATGCGTTTGCAATTGCAGCTACGTGCTGCTACTCTTGCTGGGTGTGAAGAAAGGGAGAGAGAGGAGAGTGAGAAGGGCAGTGCAGGTAGGTGAAGGTGAAAACAGTGGTGCTTATGGGAGATTAATAAAACAAGGGCCTGAAACACAGGAGTGAAGCTACGCCGTTGATTTTTTTATTTTATTTTTTATTTTTTTAATTTATGAGAGTGATGTTCATCGATCTTCATTAACGAGAAATGAAATCTCACGTCAACCTTTGCTTTTCAATTATTATTATTTTTATTATTATTATTGAAAGTACTGTTTGTTTGCTTGTTTTATTTGACTCTTTTTTAAAATATAATAATAAGGATGTGTTTTCCCGGCGAAGCTGTGATGCTGGTGAGAATAGTTAAATTCTTTGACGGCGACGACCGATGCTTGATTCTTGTTTCTGTGTATGGAAATAGTTTTGTGAAGGGAAATGAAATTTATTTCCATAACTTCTATGTTTCAAAAAGATCGTTGATTTTTATTTACAAAATATTCTTTTAAAAATTATTTAAACGAAAACTATCATTAAGAATAATTATTAACTAATAATTAATAATTCAAATAATAACAAGTTGAAACTTTGTTGTATGTATAAAACAAATTCATATATTATATTTTATGGTTAATTATTAGTTTTTTCATCAACGATTGTAAATATAATTTGTTTTCGAAAGTGGTAATAAATATATAAGATATTAAAATAATTATAAATAATAATGAATTAGATTTTGTAAATCTAAACTATGAAAAATTATATTTTAAAAAATGTTATAAATTATTAAAATATTTTTTGTTGAACATACTTTATAATATATATATTTCCATTTTAGTGCCAAACAGAGGCTTCGGATACTTTCGAGTCTCCAAGACAGATGTCACTTTACCTTAGTTTTATTGGCCACCCGAATGTCCACATCAGTACGCAAAATATTGAAACAGAAATGCTTGATCTTTCAATGAATGAGTTTAATAGTTTTTCCCATTATTTTAGTCCAAAAGCATGGCATAAAACGCATTTGAATTTAATACTGAAGATTTTTTTTTTCTCTCCTTTATCAGTAATATTAATGTTAAGTTTATTTAGATAATAGAATTTAACGCTTTCTCTTTGATACCTTTCTCAAAGGATTTTTATATTTTGGTAACAAATTAATTTTATAATACTTTTCAGTGTTTTTTCATAAACTATTATATTAATTTTTAGAGAATATAAATAAATTACTTTTCTAATCTAAGTAATATGTATTTTAAGTTTCCTTTTTCAGTAATATCGACTAATTAAGAACAATATCATTCAAAAATTCCTAATTGATGTGGCATGCTCTGAGGAAAATAACATTAAAAATATTAATTTCAGTAATATAAAATATAATTAAATATTGAAAAATATCATTTTTATTAAATATTATTTTTCTGATCTTTTTTACTAGACATCTTCTAAAAAGTTTCAGTAGTTCTTTCTAGAAGATAATTTATAATTTTGATGAAACATTTATTATATTTTTTATTTATCTTTACTAAATATAATTGAAGAAATAAAAAATTAAAACAAAAAATAGTAAATATTGATAGTGAAGTTAAGTTTAATGATATTAAAGAAAGATAAATTTTTTATGTTACAATATTTTTGTAAAAAGTTTAAAATTAATCAACTTTAATTACTTTTATTAATTCGTGATTTAGTTAAATGTGCTTATGATTTCGAGTATTTGACCGCATTATTCTTAATTTCGAATGTTAAACTATAACTTTTAAAATGAATAATTAATATATAACAATCTCATTAGTGCTTTTATCTTTAAATATTTTGTGATTCTTGTAGTTAATGGTTATTTTGTGTTTTTTACGAATATATTATTTAATTCTATATATAAAAATTTATTTTTAAGGTAATTCATCTTAAGCTACTTTCAATGTGATTATGAATTTTCTAATTAAACTGACAACACTAAATCACTTGTAATAAATGACAATTTGATTTATTGGTTATTTGAAATTATTTTTAATAAATGTAATATCATAATATAAAATATTTCAATTAAAAAAACGCATTATGGGCAGTGAATTAAATTGAAACAGGAATTCGATTTTATATGGACGTGGCTCAATTGTCACCAAGGTTTGTGCCCCATTTTGTAAAACGTGCATTTGGGGTTTATTATTCGGACAAAAGATGAGACTAGGGAGAATCATCTCTACCATAAAAAAAAAAGAAGAAAAATCCCCCCAATGACCAAGCACTCAACATTTATTTAGCGTATTGTTATACAATAATGGGACAGTTATTAGATCATATGCAGTGAAAGATTATGATGTAATGCGCACAATATTATTATAGTAAAAAGAAGGAAAACTCTTACAGAAAGTGAAAGCAAAAGATAAACACAACGGTAGTGGGAAAGTTACGCAATACTATCAAACATAAGCTACAGTCAATTAGTAATTATAACTTTCTTTTATTCTTCATCATAAGCATTTCAAACAGGAAATAATTTTATTTGAGGGAAAAATATTTATTTATATCATAATAAAATTAAATTTTAAGAAAATAAATAATATATTACTTGAGTCAATTATATATTCGCGTTGATCGAATAAAACAAGATACGATTTTATATTTAATAAGTGGCAAGCTTGTGTCTCCACTTATCTCCTTAAAATGAGAGTAGTCTGAGTCTCACAAGATTTTGTACCTTAAAACAACGTAATCTCTTCTTCCTAAAATTTGAGGACAGAAACAAAACCAGTGATTAATTAATATAGCATATTTGATTAACAACGTAAGCTCATTTCTTTGATTACTTTATGGGCAGAAACAAACAAAATAGACTGAATGTGGTGCTTGGAAGAATGCAAACAGGAGTAGGAGTGTCCCACTGTGCTGGCCTCGTGTGGTTGCCTTGTCTTGTTCGATTTCGATGGTACCCCATCAGAAGTGGCACCAATAATTTTGGCTGGTCCACGCACCTCCATTTTCACTTTAAGCTTTTTGTGTGTGCAGTATAGTATACCACATTCTTTCATGACATAATGACCCAAAAGTATTCCCTCACCACTTTTTCTTGTAGTCTCCAATTTAAGTTCAAACTTTACATCATTCAATAGTTAAGATCAAAATGCCCTCTATAATTATTTATCATCAAAGATATACGAAACTCTTGCTCTTGTATAGTGGGTGATTGAGTCTTCTCCACAAATTTGAGAGAAGAAAATTGTAGATTCGGTTTCTTTTTCTTCAACTAAATGTGGATTATATTCGCTTAGGTTGAGATACGGGTATGCTATTTATGATGCATTTTTTTTACAGAATATTTTGTAATGCATATCCTTGTCAAATTACCTTCTATGAGCACTCTTTTATAATGTTCTGCATTGGGATCACTGACCGATGCCGACGTTTCGGTTTGTAAGGAAAGGACTAACTCAGATTTACTATCTGATGAGTTTATTAATTGGTCCTCGAGTGTATGTGCTCGTTGTTTTAAGCACCATTAATTTTAATTTTGTTTTTTCAAAGATTTTTTTAATTAATTTTAGTTTTTATAAATTTTTATTTTTTTAAATATTCTCTGTCACTATTCACTGATGATATATTATGCATCTGGACATGTCACATTACATATTACTTAAAAATTAATACTTGAGTAAAAATATTTGAGTAAAATAAAATTTAATTATATTTTTAAAAATTAAAAATATAATATTTTTAATTGGTATAAGCTGTCATAATTTTTTTCTAAAAAAATACTCGACGAGGAGAAATTTTATAAGTTACCTGGATATTTTATCTTATTGTTATATAAATCTTATCTTAAATTTGTGTATGTGATTTTAGTTTATGAGAGACTAAAATCATGTGTTTTTATTAAATACAGGACTAAAGTCAAATAAATTTTTACAAAGATTAAAATTAAAAAGCATGATATTTTTACGGATTAAAATGTTATTTAAGTCTTGATTTTTTTAGATGAATTTAAAAATATAATACTTTAAAAATAGTATTTCTATTCAAATTAAAAGAAACACATCGTTAAATTATATTTACAAAATTATCATTTTATATTAGAAGCACTAAAATATCTTTATCTTTCAATTAAAAATAAATATATCATTGGCTTCAGAAAAATGAAACTAACATATTAATGCAATGAAAATATTGGTAAATATTTCTTTTCAGGTTAACTTACTCCCTAAGTTGTGTTATTCTCTCAGCACAGCAGAAGATTAGGGAAGGAAGAAAGAAAGAGAAAAATAAATAAAGAATGTGGGGATATATTAGAAGAAAAAGTAAGTGTGTGAGAGAGAAGGGCAACGCAAGTAGAAATTAATAAAAGAGAAAGAGAGAAAGCTATGATGAAGAAAAAATAAGAGCGAGAGAGAGAAAAGCAAAGATAAAAAAAAAAGAAAAAAAAGAGGTCAATAGAACATATGGAACAAACAATTCATACCTTTTTTCCTTATTTCCTGCGAGACATGAATAAAAATGTTACTTTTTTCAAAAAATTAATTTAAAAAAATATCATATGAATTTGAATATTTATTTAGTTTTTAAAAATAAATTACTTTTATATTATTAATCATAATATTTTATGTCATTATTAAATATCGTTTTAATCACAGTCGTGGTATTTAAAAGTGTGAGATATGTTTGTTGATAAATGTATTTATTAAAAAGTAATATTGAGTTCTAAAATAAGTTATCAAAATATTATCACACAAGAATTATTTTTAATTATTAAAAAATTCTTAATTTAATTGTTTAAACTTTAAAGATATGAAATTAAATATAATAAGGATTTGAATATAAAATTAATTAACAAGAAATTAAAATAGTACAATCTCTAACAATAAATTAATTAAGAAGAACTTAGGATGCATAGTTTCATTTTTGCATTTTTTTATGTTCTCTTTTTAGATTAATTATAATTTTGATTTCCTTATGATCACCAACAACTCATATTAAATTTATTAACAACTAATAAATATGCAATGTTAATATTTTTTTTTTTAAACTATCACCTCTAATGATCATGTAAAGTAAAGGGAAGAGAAAGCATAAAATACCTATGAGTTG